TTTAGAGGATCACATTCAATCCTCAGTGGACAGCAGTTCTGCAAAGGACCTCCCAAGACAGAAGGTCTCCAAGTCTAGTCCTTCCAAGCCTTACTGATGGTCCTTATCTACTGTGGTTTGACTATAAATCCGTGGAAACGCATAACATTGATGCCTTTACATAAAAGTCCTACGTTCCCCAAGATCTAGGGGGTTAATTATTATTTATTATTATACAGGATTTATATAGCGCCAACAGTTTGCGCAGCGCTTTACAATATAATGGAGACAGTACAATTACAATACATTTCAGTACAGAAGGAATAGGAGGGCCCGGCTCGTGGAGCTTACAATCTAAAGGAAGGGGGAGGTAATACAAAAGGTGATAGCTGCGGGGGATGATCTGGCGGAGGTGATTCAAGTACAGTTCTTAGGTGGAGGGTGGGGTAGGCTTCCCTGAAGAAGTGAGTTTTCAAAGATCCCCTAAAGGCAGACAGCGTGGGGGCTGACCAGACATGCTGTGGTAGGGAGTTCCAGAGGATGGGAGAGGCTCTGGAGAAGTCCTGGAGGCAAGCGTGGGAGTAGGTGATGAGGGAGCTAGAAAGGAGGATATCATGGGAGGAGCGGAGTGGGCGATTTGGGCGGTATCTGTGGATGAGGTTGGTGATGTAGCTATGGGCAGTGTTGTGGATGGCTTTGTAAGCTGTGATTAGTATTTTGAATTTTATACATTGGGTTAGTGCAGTGGTGGGCAACCTTTTTTTTTTTTTTTCAACTGAGCCAAATCTCGCCAAAACCACAATTGAAATTTTATTTTGAGAGCCACATTTTTAAAACTGAAAATACATCCCCCATATAGTAATTCATCCCCCATATAGTAATTCATCCCCCATATAGTAATTCATCCCCCATATAGTAATTCATCCCCCCTATAGTAATTCATTCCCCATATTGTGTCAATTCACTTACCTTTGCTCCACGCGTTCCTCTCGCCGTGTTCCCGTGCCGTTCCGGTCTTCAGGGCGGACTGTGAGAGGAGAGGAGTTCGTCACGCTGCCCCGCCTACATCCTGACAGCCAATGTTTGCCACGCTCCGCGGGCCGGATTAAAAGGTCCGCCGGGCCGTAGTTTGCCCATTGCTGGGCTAGCTGCAGAGTCCTGACTTTTGGGGCGGCCGCCCGAGAGAGGAGGGAGGGGGAGCGGGCGCCCAGCACACAGAAGAGCCGCATTGAAGTGTGTAAAGAGCCGCATGTGGCTCGCGAGCCGCGGCTTGCCGACCACTGGGTTAGTGGAAGCCAGTGGAGGGATTGGCAGAGAGGGGCAGCAGTCGTTGATCGGTTGGTAAGGTGTATGAGTCTAGTTAATGCTTTGTGATGTCATTGTTTCTCAAAGGATCTAATTGGCTCCTCAGCAAAGAGCAATTCTCCAAATTCCGAACAGGAGGTCCATCAGTCCATTCCTTAGGCTTTGCTGGTGCTACCTATACACTTAGTGCTCCCCTATTGACTTGAATTAGTTCTCTTAATCTCGGTCCTGATCCGTCTGTGTGTGGGTCTCTTGCAATAACTGGCGGTAATGCTCAAAAATAAAATGAACCTGCCAATAGTGTGATACCATTCCAAGATGTAAAGGTAGTCCTCTTTATTTATAAAATTGCACTCACATTAACACTGGACACTAATGCAGTGTCAATACCTAACCATTGAAAAGCACAGCGGTTCCTCCCACCAATCTTTAAGTTTCCTGCCGAAACCAAAAATGACGTCACCTGGCTCCACTACATGCTGTGTGTCATGTGACCAGTGACGCAACATGTAACTGGACTCGCATAACCACCAAAGTTTTGGATGCACTGTTGCAATATTAATAATACTTTGTTGTGATATTTAGTTGGCGTGCACAGTGCACATTCCTATATACATTGTTTGATATATTTATTATTTATGTGATTATTATGCAAATGCCTTATTTTTCACGTTTTTTAATTTTGAATAGCATTGGTAGGGACTTAAAGGGTAGCGCTACACCATCCACTATAAAAAAAGCATAGCATAACATTGATACATAATTTATATACACTCACCGGCCACTTTTAGGTAGACCTGTTTAAATGCTTGGTAACACAAATTGCTAATCATCAATCACAGCAACTCAATGCATTTAGGCATCTAGAAATGGTGAAGATGACTTGCTGAAGTTCAAACTGAGCATAAGAAAGGGGATTTAAGTGACTTTGGATGTGGCATGGTTGTTGGTGCCAGACGGGCTGGTCTGAGTATTTAAAAAACTGCTGATCCACTGGGATTTTCACACACAACCATCTCTAGGGAAATCGAGACTCATCAGACTAGGCAACGTTTTCCCCATCTTTTTATTGTCTGATTTTTGTGAGCCTGTGCGAATTCTAGCCTCCGTTTCCTGTTCTTAGCTGACAGTAGTGGCACCTAGTGTGGTGTTCTGCTGCTGTAGTCCATCTGCTTTAGTGCCAAGTCATACCGCTGTGATTTCAGGTGCGATTTGCGACTTGAAATCGCATCTAATGAATGACAGCGTATTAACATGTGAGATTTGCTGCAGCGTGATTTCTAAAGTAGTTCTTGCATTACGTTTTCTGCAGTTTTCTTGCAGTTTCACATACAAAAAATATAATGGAAACCGCACTGCACATTGCAAGAAATCATTGAAAAAAATCACAAGTAGCAGTAAAGTCTTCAGAAATTGCACCTGAAATCTCACTGAAATTTTACACAAATCACGTGATTTTAAATCGCAGCGGTGTGACTTAACCTCTTGCCGTCCGCCTGCTGTTTATAAACGGCAGGGCGGTGGCAGTCCAGGGGCGGGTTGCCGTTCATAAACGGCACCCGCCTTTTCTAGCTGTGCGCGCTCCCTGGGAGCGCGCACCACCGCGATCCGGTACCCGCTGTGTCCTCCGGACACAGTGTGAAACACCGATCGTCGGACGGGACCTCTGTACGAGGTCCCGATCGTGTGATCACTGATTGGCGAATCAGTGATCACATGCAAAGTAGTAAGCAAGATGTCACTTGTGACATCATTGCTTACTACATGTGAAATCTGTGAATGATCACAGAGGTCACATGGTACAGGGCTATTCACAACAGCCTTGTACCATGTGACAAGCTGTGACCAATCACAGCTCACTCAGTATTTCTCAATGACTGCAAGAATGCAGACAGAGAGAAAGAGAAATGATTGCTTTTACATCCTATATGGGTGTAAAAGCAATCGGTGTAAAAAAAAAAAAAAAAAATCTTCATCACCCCCCACAAGTAGTACAGTGTCACCATGGTGACACTGTACTGCTAGGGTGACAGTATGTTAAAAAATAAAATAAAAATAAAAAATAATAATATAAAAAAATAAAATAAAAATGTTTAAAAATTATAATTTTTGATTATAAACTAATTTTGGATTTTTTTTTTTTTTTTTGCTAAAAAAATAACGGAATAAATTTTGGCCAAGATTTAGGATGAAATATTATTTATTTGCAAAATTTTATAAAAAAAAAACAAACACTTTTTTTCAAAATTTTTGGACATTTTCATTTGCATAGTAAAAAAAAATAAAAATCCCAGCGGTGAATAAATACCACCAAAATAAAGCTTTATCTGTCTCAAAAAAATGGTAAAAAATTCATATGGGTACAGTATTGCATGACCGCGCAATTGTCATTCAAAGTGTGATAGCACTGAAAGCTGAAAATTGCCCTGGACAGGAAGAGGGTAAAAGTGTCCGGACAGGAAGTGGTTAAGATTCAACCTGATGGTGTTCTGCATTCCTTGGTTGTAATGAGTGGTTATTTGAGGTACTGTTGCCTTTCTATCATCTCTAACCAGTCTGCCCATTCTCCTCTGGCCTCTGACACCAGCAAGGCATTTTCCTCCACAAAACTGCCACTTACTGGATATTTTCTCTTTTTCGGACCATTCTCTGTAAACCCTAGAGATGGTTGTGTGTGAAAATCCCAGTAGATCAGCAGTTTTTGAAATACTCAGACAAGCCCGTCTTTCACCAACAACTATGTCACTTAAATCTCCTTTCTGATGCTCGGTTTGAACTTCAAGTCCTCTTCACCATGTCTAGATGCCTAAATGCATTGAGTTGCTGTCATGTGATTGGCTGATTAGCAATTTGTGTTACCAAGCAATTGAACAGGTGTACCTAATAAAGTGGCCAGTGAGTGTATATACATATATAAAAGTCCTAAATGCCCCAAAATCTAGGGGTTAATGCCTTGTGATGTTGTTAGTTCTCAGAGGATCTCATTGGCTTCTCCGTAATGAGCAATTCTGCAAGGACTGCCTAAGGACAGGAGGTCCATCGGTGCAGTCCATTCCTTAGGCCTTACTGGTGCTATTTTTGCACCCCTTATTTATTTATTTCAGGTACTTATATATCACCGTCAATTTGCGCAGCACTTTACATATATATTGTACATTCACATCAGTCCCTAACCCTCAAGGGGCGTACAATCTAAGGTCCCTAACTCACATTCATATACAAGGGCCAATTTAGACAGGATCCAATTAACCTACCAGCATGTCTTTGGAGTGTGGGAGGAAACCGGAGTACCGGAGGAAACCCACGCAGGCACAGGGAGAACTTGCAAACTCCAGGCAGGTGGTGCCGTGGTTGGGATTCGTACCAACGACTCTAGTACTGCCAGGCGGAAGTCCTAACCATTTAGCCACTGTGCTGCCCACACCTTATGTACTGGGCTTTGAATATAAATGCCTGAAAACACATAATATTGATGGTTTTACATAAATGCCTGAAAACACATAATATTGATGGTTTTACATAAATGCCTGAAAACACATAATAATGATGGTTTTACATAAATGCCTGAAAACACATAATATTGATGGTTTTACATAAATGCCTGAAAACACATATTGATGGTTTTACATAAATGCCTGAAAACACATAATATTGATGGTTTTACATAAAAGTCCTAACTCCTTTCCTCTCCTTTTTTTTTACCCTTATTAGAATCAATGGAAGAGCTTCCTGATTCCAGAGAACATACCATACAGCGTTTCTTCTTCAACTTGTCTTCCATCCCTAGTGAAGAGCTGATCACGTCAGCTGAGCTCCGTGTATTTCGAGAGCAGGTTCAAGAGCCATTTGAAAGTGACAGCAATGAGACTCTCCGCATTAATATTTATGATATTGTCAAGCCAGCTGCTGCTGCCTCCAGGGGGCCTGTCACGAGACTGTTGGACACCCGACTGATCCATCATAATGTAAGCAGATGGGAAAGCTTTGATGTCACACCAGCTATTATAAGGTGGATTGCACACAGACAGCCCAACCATGGCTTTGTTGTAGAAGTGACTCATTTGGACAACGAGAAAAACCTCACTAAGAGACACGTGAGGATCAGCAGATCCATACTGCCTGATAAAGACCAATGGTCTCAGATAAGGCCACTTTTAGTGACTTACAGCCACGATGGCAAAGGACTTCCTCTCCACAAAAGAGAAAAACGGCAAGCGAGGCACAGGCAAAGGAAAAGGCTCAAATCAAGCTGTAGAAGACACCCGCTGTACGTAGACTTCAGTGACGTTGGCTGGAATGACTGGATTGTGGCCCCTGCTGGGTACAATGCCTTCTACTGCCATGGAGAATGCCCCTTTCCACTGGCTGACCATTTTAACTCCACAAATCACGCAATTGTACAGACTTTGGTGAATTCCGTCAACCCGTCCATCCCGAAAGCTTGTTGCGTCCCAACAGAACTGAGCGCCATCTCAATGCTCTACTTAGATGAAAATGAAAAAGTTGTGTTAAGAAACTACCAGGACATGGTTGTGGAAGGCTGCGGGTGCCGCTAATAAAGACTTGGAAAATAAGAACACACACTCGAACACGTTCACAAACAAAAAAAAAAAAAAAAAAAAAGCTGACACTTTAATATTTCCCAATGGAAACTTTATTTATAAATGCTAAAAAAAACTGTTTTGAATATATATATTTATGTCTACAAGAAAGTTGGGAAGCAAATATTTTAATCTGAGAAATATTCCTTTTTTGTTTTTTTCTTTTAGTTGTACATTTTATATGGGTTTTGTACCCAGCACATGAAGTATAAGGTCAGATTCTTATTTTGTATTTATTTTCCATTATAACCACTTTCTTAGGTAAAAAAAAAATAGCTGTTTTTGTATTTATATGTAATCAAAAGAAATATAGTGTTTGTAAATACGTTTCCTAAAGCAGATTTGATGTATTTAAGTTGAAAGATATACATGGGAAGATAAAAAAAAAAAGATGCTAAATATTTTACTTTTTTTTTTTTTTTTTTTTTTGTTTGTTTCTTTTTCTATGCTACTGTTGAAGTCCTCGGTTCAAAGCCCAAAAGACCTTAATCTTGGGAATTATCAGAACAGATTATTGTATTGTGCAATTCTCAGGCATTCTTCAGTGTTGGCTAGCCAGGCCTTTAAACTTTTTAAAGCTACAAAAAAAAATATACATTTTTGAATAAAAAGGAAAACAAATATGGCAAATTTTTACAAGCTGACCCACATTTACTGGTACATCTAAGAGCCAGCAGACTTGACCAATAAAGTACCGGGCTATTGAATATGTAGTCATAAGGTTGTGGCCATGTGCCGGAGCTGCTATGTTTTGTTTTATTTCTCAAATGCCCTGAAAAATAAAATAAAGTTTAGAGTCTGAACCATATTTGTCTATGTAGATATAGGGGTTTATTTACTAAAGCTGAACAATTACTCCCTTCTGCATATCAGCTTGTTTCATTGCCAAATATTGAACAAGCTGAGGTTAGCTGATTGCTATGCTCTGATTTTGACAGCTTTATAATAAACCCCTAGGTAGATACACTCCAACACAGCCTTCCGTAACCTTTTCAACACAGAGAGACCCTTGAAATAACTTTCCAGTCTCAGGAACCCCTACTAAAAATAACTATATCTACAATCCACAATACATTGGTGTGATGGTCAGTGGGAAGAATGCTCCTTATGCATAGAGTTACCCCCTTACAGATATCTAAAAGAATAATGGTGTCAATGGGAACCATCTGAGAGGCAGAAATTGCTCATTGGTCAAACTTCCTAGCAAAAGGAACCCTAATGTTCCATCCTATGGTGCAACCATCTGAGAGGCAGAAATTGAGGAACCTCTGGAGGAACCCTAGTTGAGAAAAGAATAATGGTGTCAGTGGGAACCATCTGAGAGTCAGAATTGCTCATTGGTCGCCAAACATCCTAGCAACTTCTGGAGGAACCCTAATGTTCCATGAAACCCTAGTTGAGAAAAGAATAATGGTGTCAGTGGGAACCATCTGAGAGGCAGAAATTGCTCATTGGTCACCAAACTCCCTGGCAACTTCTGGAGGAACCCTAGTGTGTATCATGGAACCCTAGTTGAGAAACCCTTCTGCTACATAATAGATACTTGCCTTCCACCTGGAACGCACCGCCTCGGCGTGCATTCCACTCTCCGGAAGTGATGTAGGACGCCGGAACCGGAAGTACATCAACGCCTTTCGCCCCTCCCACAGTGCGTCGACGCAGTTCTGGTTCCGCCGTCCTACGTCACTTCCGGTGAGTGGAACACACGCCAGTGCGGTGCGTTCCAGGTGGCCATCTTGTGTATGGGAGAACATTCACATTGTCATCTGCTGCTGACTGTGGGCTCTCTAAAAAACCTCTCTGAAGTTTGATGTCTGTGGATTCAATAAATATGCTGGTTTATATCTTCTATAATGTGAGTGGCCTGGTGTTTTGATGTTTAATTTAGTCGGGTGTTGCAGTATTACGCGATGTTATTTTATCTTTCCTACATTACATTGAGTTTCTTGGGAAGTGGAGCCTGGTGGTGTTGAAAATTGGAGGAAAGTTTTCCTGTGGTGGAGTTCTGGAGGCATATCATAAGGGTCTAGGGTCCCATAAATACCTAAAAGGCGTTTATTTCACCATAATCTGGTGAGTGCGGTATATATTAGTTTGAGCACTAATTTCTGGTGGAAGAACACTTTTTTGGAATAAGGACTTTCTGAATATTTAAGGATTTTTTTTCTTCATTTTTTTATTCTTTCACTTGTCATATTTTTCTTCACGAATTTTGGAGTGGAACTATATTTTCTATTGAATTTATTATCTTATAATATTTTCATAGCGATTTAGCACTTCAACAAATTATTTTGCGCTGTTTGTGATGTTATAATTTTTTACACTTTACTTACACGACAAAACCATTTCAATGGTATTTTTTAAGGAGCAAATATTAAAAGTTTATTGTTTAGAGTTTACATGCACTTCAAAACAATTGCTAGGGAAATTTTGCCTTTATTTCTGTCTTGAAGATGCAACAGGTAGAGGAGAATTCATATCCAGAACAAATCTCTCAATTATCGGATTTCCTTCACCAAATCTCAATCATGACAAAAATCTCAATTATTTTTTTGTCTCGGTGACCACAACAAAAATGGAGAGGTAAATTATCCCAGCAGGGACACATACATTAAAAATGATCGGCAGATGTTCGAAGCCGTTCACATTATGTAAAGCTAGAAAGAAAACTTTTTTGCTTTTTACATACTTTCCCTCAAAACTCTTTGCCAAAATGTATTACGTGCAACATAGGAAAAATAATTAAATAATAGTTATGGGGTTTTTTTAGGCACCGTTCACTTTATCACTTACAAGCGTTCCCACTACATGATTTTGACATCACAATTTTCATGCGATTGTGCGGGTCGCAAAGGGCAGCCCAGTCACTTTAACCCTTTGAGGACCAAGGGACATATTTGTCCCATGTTTTTAATTGCCTGTATCATCTGATTAAGAACTTAAAATACTTTTTTTTTTTTGTTTTGTTTTTTTGTCAAAATATTAGTTCTTATCAACAAATGGATTTAGCTTTTTGCCAATTATTTCATGAAATGGCTTAGTTACAGCAACTGAAGTGTACGAACTTTAAAAACAAAAAATTTGATTCTTTTGGTGTTCCATAATCTTATGGCCCTCAAAGGGTTAATGGGCTGCCCTATGTGCATTTTTGTCAGCCGAAAAGCAGCTCCTGCTCCTCTTTCGGGCAACAAACTTCACGTGATTTGTAAAGGCACGGTTTGCTGCAATTGTTGTGCGGCAATCGCGTCAGGTTTGTATCACGTTTTGAGGTGCCATTGAAGGATAATGGTGCCCAAACATACACAGCGAATGGTGCTGCGTTGATTGCCACGCAAGTTGGGATCACGGGCAGAATTGCAGCGGTTCGGTCCAAGATATCAAGTCGATGTGAGGGAGACCTAAGGGTTTATCATTCCTCCCTGTCCACACCTGGTATTATTCTGGTAAAAAAAGACAGAATTTAGTATTCAGCTGTCACAACCTGTAAAAGGAAGGTGGGATATGACCATACATGTTAACTGCCTCTGTATGGCAGACCAGATGTAATCATGTCCTGAAGGCTTGTTCATACTGCACACCAGTGTACATCCATTACTGTGTTACGAACACATGCTGTCAGCCGGTCTAATCATCAAAACACACTGCGGTGATTGTTTTTTTTTTCAAATTTTAGGGAATTTTATGTCCTGCATCAAAATTTTTCTTTTTATCACACTTATGGTATGGATAAGCCCTAAAATCCAACCATCATCGGACGTCTGAATCTGTAGTCAACTCTGTTAATGTCTTGTCATCATCTAGAGTGAGGGTTCTCAACCAGGAATCCATGGAACTCTAGGGTTCCTCCAGAGGCTGCTAGGGGTTCCTTGAGCAATGAGCAATGTCTGCCTCTCAGATAAGTTCCCAGTGACACCTTTGATCTCTTTATCTATCTGTAAGGGGCTAATTCTTCCCAATGACCACAAGTGTAAGGAGCATTCTTCCCACTGACCATCACCCTAATTTATCATGTGTTGTAGATATAGTCAGTTTTTAGCAAGGATTCCCTGAGACCGGAAAGTTATATCAAGGGGTCCTCTGTGTTGAAAAGGTTGAGAAAGGCTGTTCTATACTGTACGGGAACTGTGCTTAGCCAATTACAACTCAACTCCAGCCATATTTTTATTTTTTTTTATGTTCGCTTTGGAAAAAGTTAGGAAGGGTTAGATCCTCCATCAGGTTTTATTGTGGTTTCTGTAGCTGTTGTGGCGACATTCGTGCAAAAACTCAACAGGCTCCCGTAGAGTAATAAACTAGTTAAATAGAATGTGGACAGATGAGGACTTCTGTCAAGTTTGCAGTCTATGTCCATGCTAGAGAGATCTGCTCATTTCATGTCTGATCGCCCATAGAGAATTTGAGGTTCTACTCCCTCCCCACCCTAAAGACAAAGTACTTATCTAGACCTGTGGGTATATGCTGCCACTGGTCTACTGTGTCCCTCAAAGAACTTTGAGAAAAGGACTTTATGGTGAGTACAGAAAGTGCCTTGAGTTGCATTGCTGATGTCAGAGCATTTCATCATACCACTGCATTTGATTTTAAATTCTGCCTGGAGCCTTGATAAAGAGGTTGTGCATCCTGGTAAAAGTGGCTGTTTGCATAGTCATAAGTACCCCCCCCCCCCCTCCATGTAACAGTGCTCATGTGTACTGATAGGTTGCTTAGACACTGAGCATTTCATGGACATTTTATTGTTGGATGGGCCAGAGGTCATGTGCCTTCTCCACTATAACCACTTTAAGTGAATCAGGGTAAAATGCATCACAGGGGTGCTACAGTCAAGGACTGGCCCAAAACAGAGGAGTGATGCGATCATTGTGCGACTGTATATGAATACTGAGACACTATAAGGGAAGGGAGAGGGGAACTTTCAAGACTGCTCTGAGCAGTGCTACAGTTAGAACAAAAAAAAA